GCAATGTACTTCAAACATTCCACATTGAACAACTTTTTCTAAATTATATTGTATTTCATCGGTTATTGCCTTGTACTTCTTTACTTCTCGAACATAATCATTAAACGTATGTTCTTCATGAAGAAATTGTTCAACTTCTAAATCAGCTTGTTTTGATATCAGATAGGAAAATGGATGAAATTCTTCTGCATGTTCTTTTGGTTTTTCAAATTGTCTTTTCAACATTTCACGAACTTTTTCTTTATAATATTGAAGTATCGATGGCAAGACTATAGGTGATAAATATTGTCCTCCACTTTGACTCTAAATTTAATGTAGAAAAATTATTGTTTAGCGAATATTCAAAATTATTTCTTACTGGTGTTCTGTCTGAAAATAATTTTGTTTCAATTCGTGATAGATTACTACATTTACTAATAATTAAATCATACATAGATAAAAAGACAACTTCAAAATCTTCATATGATGGTTCGAATTTAATTTCATTTTCACTTAAAAGCATATTAATAATAAATCCTAAATAATGAAGACAAATAGTTTTTTTTTTTCGACGAATTATTAAGTAAAAAGGAACATACATACCACCATGTTCATAGGGTTTAATTGATTCTTCAGGTGTCACAAGTAAATTAGTGAAATCCTCAATTGTATAAAGAGCAAGATCTTGTAAACATTGTGTCATTAATGTGGCAACAGTATTAAAAAATGATTTAAATTTTGAATCATCTTGACTTGGTACGAGACCACGTTTATGTCCTTGATAAAATATTTTTTGTATTTCACTTATCCAGCTGAATAACAACAAGAACATTTAGTTAATTTATTGAGCTTAAAACTAAGAGATGTACCGTTTTGTTAATTGTTCTCGAGCTGAATCCATCTGTCGTTTACAGACAGTATGAAAGAAAGATAATTCAATGGCTTCTGATCTTTCTTTAAATTCATCTACATCGATAACTTTCAAAATTCTAGAAGAAAACAGATAAAAACAGAAATATTACGCATAGAACTCGGTTTCACATACTTGAAAACACTTTTATGCCACGTGTTAAGAACTTGTGTCATTATCGGATTAATCGAATGTAGATTCTGTTCCATCATTTTTTGTGCTTGAATAAAGTTTTCATGCCATGGTTTGGGTAATACAACCAATTCTTGACGATGTTTAGGTAATTCTTGTTTTTTCTCCTCTTGCGATTCACGCGGATCTTTTAGAACAAAATCAACTAAAAAAATAACATCAAAGAGTTAAAATAGAAACTTATTTTTAAACCAGTATACAAACCTATTGCTTTCTTTACACTTAAAAGATAATCTTCTTTCATTTCATCTGTCAAAGAATTAACTTCTGGCTCCCATGCTAGACGAAGTTCGCTTGGAAGCCGAGATAATGTATCATTGATTCGATGAGAGTCAAGTTCTGCTACATACTGAGTATCAATACCATTATGAATATAGTAGTAATAACGCTGAAAACAGAGTTAATTCTTAAGTCACTACAATCATGCATAAGTCGAACACATACTAAAATGTCTTTTTCAGCTGGAGTTGGAAGATCAGCGGCCGCTGGTGGAATATCATCCTTAAATGTGTATACATTTCCTAGATCACTTGCTCCATCATACTCAGAATGTCTAAAAAAAAGAATATTTTTTAATTTTTTAAAAAGCTTTCTTTTTTCGAGCAACGTACGTAATAATATCGACTATAGCTTTACGAAAATCTTCTCGTTGTTTTTTCGTATCCACAAGTTTTCGGTGTGAAGCTGATTCTGGTTTAGCTTCTGAAACTTGCGCACGTTTACGTTCTGGATCATCTCAGAAGAAAAATCACATATTATCGATTTACAGAAAAATAAAATCAATGAAAACTTACGATGATCAGTAAGTTCTTGTAAAAATCGTTTACTCTCTGTACCAACTTCGTTAAGTTTATGTTTACCAGGGATAAATAATGGTGGCCTAGAATATTAAAATAGGATAGGTTCAGTTATGTATACAAGCAATGCAATTCTGCCGCCTTTTAATATCAGGGAAATAAAAAGTCTCAAGAGCACTTTTTTCATATCCCAAGAAACCTAAAGGTACAAAACAAGAGAGAATTTCTAACATCCAATCTGTTTATTGTTTTTTTTGATATATTTAATTATATTCTCCGTATACAAAGGAGTAATGATTCAGACACGTCACTAACATAAAGAAAAACGTATCAAAATTTGTGATATGTAATTGTGTTTAAAAACGAAAATACAGTAAAAACGAAAAACGCTGACAGCGTTTTAGCGATATATACACTAAATCTACTCACTGAGGCGTCATCCATTCTGGTTTGACACGAATATCAGGCAATTGTGGTAGAAATTTGAGTGAATCATGTGTTCCTTTACCCTTGGTACCTTCCCCGCGAAAGGCAACTTTCTAGAAAAAAAAAACTATAGTGTTAGTACAATAACTAGCATTCTAAAGTTCTATGACTTTAAATCAAGACCAAATATTATTTAATACCTGTATGTCGGCCATTGCCCAATATACTTTTGATTATAAAAGATAATTCGGTATAAAAAACAATTCTAATATCGTAACATTCATGTGCCATGCAGCACAAGTTTACATCGAAGTTTCTATGAGATAGCCTCTGTTATATTGAAATTGGATTGGTTATCAAAGAAAATTGTAGAAGCGCCAAGAATCTAATGATTCAAAAAACAATAAATACAAAACGTCCAAAGCCAAGAAATTATAAGAATATTAATAATGCCATTACTTTATTCAAATAACCGTTAACGCTGCAATAACATAGACGGCGCTGCAGTAATTATAATTTAAGAATTAGAAGAAATGCTTTCTTTTTTTTATCTTTTGTTCAAAATATAAAAACAATTAAATTTTTGCAATGAAATGAAAATTTTCTTGAATTTCCTGATAAATTTAATAAGTAATTTTTAAAATTTTCCAAGTTCAAATACTTACTCCCGATTCTTCCTTCACACCGTACAGTTAACCCTTAGATCAGTGAACTTTTTCTTTGTTTATAATTTAACATCTATTTATTCTTACAGATAACTACCTGAGATTACAAAAAAACAACAACATCAGAAACAGTGGGAAACACACGTGCAAAAACTATTTTAACGTGTATTAACAAATGATTTTTCATCAAGTATAAAGTAACAGTCATAACAAATTGATAAATTTTTTAGATTATTTTTCTTCTTGAGATTATTTTGTTTTAGTTTTATTGTTTTATATTGGTGTTCTGTTGTATCATTAAACAAGTCAATATCTGTATTATTTTCATTGGTTGACGTAAACTTTTTTATTGTTGAGCAACATCTTAGCCGGTGAAGAGAAACATAACAAATATAATCTGATCTCAATTGAACTTGTTTTTGACATTTTTTACATATTTTCTGTTTACAAATAGAACATAAATAACCAAATTTGAGTAAATTAAATGCTACTTTTCGACAAGTATAACATATTTTACCATAAACAACATTTTTGTAGAGATTAAAATCAAACAATAATATTTTGAACTCAGCACACGTTTGTACATATCTAAATAGAAGAGAAAATCGGCGACTATTTGATAGTAATCAAAATTTAATCCTCAAACCAAAGAAGAGTGTTATGAAAAGAAAAATTTTGTATATCTCTAATTGATTATGAGTATTGTGTGTAAATAAGATACTATACACATCGCATACCGTATATGACATATTTCGTTGAGTTTCAATGGTACAATCATATCTTTCTTCTTCATCGGTGAAATATTCAGTGATAATGATTGTTGCTGCTCTACAATTTCCATATTATCGGTTTTTTCACCAATTAGCTCAGTGCGATTGTTATCGATAACAACATCATCGTCATCATCATCTGATAAACATGGATCAATCACTATGACACGTTTGCGAGCCGGAGGATGATCTTGCTGTGTGACAGTAAAATTATTGCTATCATCGTCACTTGTATCATACTCATCAATGTTCACTAACGGTTGAATACGTTTTCGTTGTATTGTTGAGTGATTACTATCTGACATTAATGACAGAAAATCGTCCAAATAAAAAATGATACGTTAAATTTTTGCTCAAAAGTGGCAGTAATCATCTGTTTTTTTATGTACAATATTGAAATTTTGAGATCAATCGCTTCGTAGTCAAGATTAATGTGAAATATCTGACTATCTGCATACAGAAAAAAGTGAAAAAAAAATCACGTCCAGTCCGTTCGGTTCTCTATGTGAAGTAGAAAAAAATTATTAGAGAATAAAAATTGATTTATCTTTGCGAAGCGAGTGTTCATACGATATGCTAAATGTATAGAAGAAATCCATAACTATCAGATGAGTCAAGAGAACAGTTACTCAGATAAAAGTCATACGGCAACAAGAAACAAGAAGTTGAAATATCGTGTAAACATCCAAGTTCGAAATTAATTTGAAACTGGAAGAGATAATGGAGGTATTGCTGTCGACATTTTGTTGATTCTGAGCATTATGTGCGTGGTTATGCTTTCAGAAAACCCATTCTGATAAAGCTCTTGTACTACATGAATAAATTCGAGATCGATATATTGAATTACGTTTTTAGACACAGAAACAAGAAGAAAAATATTCAACACTTAATGCTGATTTTATTTCTGTATATAGAGACTTACCTACTTTTGATTATATTAAATTGCGTCAGGAGTAGAAAAACAACTTTCATCTAGATTTTTTCGAAAAGCAGCACAAATTGAGAAGCAAAGACAGTTGCTTTGCCGTTCACCACAAAATTATTAACTGTCACAAACATCTGAATATTATTCATTTAGAATACATGTATAAAACGTATTGTGGATAATAACAGTTACAAACTTCTCCACAATATTATATATTTTACACAAAACGTAAAAAAAGAATAACATTATTTATATACATTTTTTTCATAGAAAAAAATAAAGAGAAACATAAAACATCACTGTGTGAAAGAAAGTATGTCACATGTCAATGCTATTTTAAAGGTCACGATTAAAAGCTTTGATTTTGGTTGCCTTTTCATATGCTTCATCCCAAAATAATACCATTCTATTATCATCATTTCGACAAAATGATCTAAAATCAGCTAACATTTTGTCCTGATATCGTTCATCACCAGTGTTTATTGTTCGCCATCGTCTACCCAAACAAAAATTCCAACACCAACAAAAACCAATGTCCATTTTCACTTTTTTATCACTCCTAGCTGTTGGAACTGTTTCCGCTGTACTAACTAATCGCGATGGAATTTTATGTACATTATAAACATCACTAATTATATATACAAGCATACCACCAGAAATATGAACATAATAAATACTATCGTCACTGTTACAGACACAAGCATTTAGAATAAAACCATATCTAAAAGCGAAAAAGAGAAATAATTATTCATAAACTATAGTAAAACTTGAACAACTTAATAAGATAATTTCTCGGCAATGTTTACTTTTACATACCGTTTGAGTATGAGTTCTTGAAATATACTCATTTTCACAATCTGATCATTTTCTGTTAAATCACTTAGTCTTTCTTTCAAACATTCAACGTTTAGTCTAATATAAATAGGACCTAAGAATAAGAAAAACAAAATTCGATAAAATATATTTCATATTGTATCTTTATTTACCTCTCAGAGGATCAAATTCAGCAAATGGATCACACGGTACCGGTACTAAATGGAATGCAACTTGTGCTTCACCAATACCAGTTTGGGTACGAACAGCCCAACTACCAATTAAATCACTGAGTATACATGCCGTTGCCACTAACCAACGTATTTCTAATTCAAATAGACAATGTGGATTATAATACGAATGATATTGAGCCGTTGCCCATTCAGTACGATCACTTTTATTTAATGGATCAACATCAACATTGCAATTTCGCCGTAAATTTGGTAAATCTGAAGAAATAGATGGAGGTAAAATGCGACTTGATAAAGATGTTGATATTAGATTATAAGATTGTATGACACGATCAAACTGTTGATCACTAGAATAATTCGTTTGTGTTGTTGATTTTGTTTTATTATCATTCATAATTATTTTTGGTAATAAACGCATAAGTTTTCTGTCAGCAAATCCTTCAAAATCCATTGATGGAATATATTCATGAACTTTGAAATATTCAACTTCAGCATAATCATTGGCTTCCAAATGAACTAAAAATACAGTAGTATATATTGAATTATAATTCACAGTTTAGATAATTGAAATGAAATAAAAAGCAAAATATGAATGTTAAATAATGCTATTATCATTTTTAAAGTCTATTTAGAAAACATAATATTTTTGCTTGTGTAAATCTAATCTCTTTAAAAAAATAATCTTCATATAGATACTTACAATCTTTTGTTTTGTCTGTCACGATATAGTATAAAAAGAATCCAAATCGATAATATTTTTCTTGTCCAGTACAATGTCGAATAATACCTTTTGTAAATAATGTCTAAAAAGAAAAAAATATTGATATATCATTTTTGTAAATTTTAAGAGTAAATTATTTTAAAATATAATATTTTATTTTAACTTGCTTGTAAAAATTTTAATGCGGCTTGTTCATTTTCAATATCCGTACCATGTTCAATACACCACCAAACAGCTTCAATGCTGATAAATGAATACTCTGGTAACATTCCTGTATTTAAATCAGTCACACATGGTAATGATTTAAAAAATTGTGTATGTAACGACAATAAATCACCATTCAATATTTGGTCAGTTAAAAAAGGTTGTAATGCTCTAGTATGAAAAAGAAATGACCTATAAAATATCAATATGGATGAAGGTAGATGAACGTTACTTATTAGGTCTTTTAGATGGATCGATTCTTTTCTGACCGGTGACAGGATCCAGAGGCTAGAAAAAGAGTAATAAATATTGAACAATATTGATTAATGATTTATGATATATTTACCCTGTACACACGCTCTGGAGAAACATATTTTAATTTATTTAACATTAGTAAAAATCGAGTAAAATGTTCAATATACTGATAAAATTGCTCCGGCGTTAATTCTGGTCTACTATCACATTTGATAACGCCAGATTCAACCATTTTTGGTGTATAGTCACGACTAGCTGGCATAACAACTAAACGTGTACGCCAATATTTCATCGTCTAAATAAACAATGAAAAGAAATAGATGAAAAAATATAATTTCATTGTACCATAATTATTTACCTCAAGCAATTGATTGTCTCCTGTGCCATGTGTACAAACAACATTATCAACAGAATTCCATGGATATTGTTCTAAATTTTCTGGTTTTAATTCAAATATGGCAGAATCATACAATGATGAATCGGGCGCTTGAAATCGATATTTATATTCCATACATTTTGCTAGGTTTGGATGTCTGAAGTAAAACAACATAACTGAATGATGAAATAACTCTTCTATAAAGGTTCTTAGGCACTTCTTAAAATTATCTTGATAGAATCTTGTAGACGTTGCCTTTTACAATCTTGATAACAGAATCTAAAAGCTTAATTAAGAGCTGAATAAGATTTGATGACTTCATTTCCATCCATCTTTTCGTTTTGCTCATACATCAAGATGAGCAACAACATAAACATAATCGAATTTTACATTGTTATTTTTCTTCCAGACTTCGCTCGTACTTATTCTATCGAAAATGTCTCACAACTTTTCAGAGAATATATAGTGCAAGTCAAGGTTCAGAGTTGGACATCCAAAAATATGAAGTTTCTCATCATTCTACTTCTAAAAGTTTAGATTAGATATTCAAACACTGTTAGTTAATGGTGAATCAATGTTATTAAAAAACGTAATATTTGTTACTGTTAGGATACTAATAGATACTCATCTAAGCTTGAAAATATCTGAGACAAAGTAACTGATAAGATCTTAACAAATTTTAGATTAATTTTTATAAAGATAATTTTAACTTAAATTTTAGATTCGGAACTCACGATCTTTGTAAGATTTGTCTGAGATTTTATACAAATGTAAGGGAAATCTTATAAAATCTTAGCAAGATTCGAATAAGTTTCTCATTAGGATCTTGTGTACCAGTTTACATGATGTGTTTTTTTCTAAAATTAGGATTTTGCTCATGCTTACTGTGGTTTGTGTTGCTGCACATAAATTTCGACGGTATCTTCTGTTGAATTTTCACTAGTAACCAAACTGATGGTGTGATAGATACGTCCCATACTAAAATTATTCAAACGAAATGTTAGTTTGAACTTTGAACCTTTGTATTGGATTTATGTTTTTTTTCTTTCAAAATGCAAAGCAAAAATAAATCCACTATTGTAATCAAACTCTTAAACTATTGAAAATCATATGTATAAATACGGACTCGAACACAAAAAGCTTAGAAAATGGTATAAAGATATAATTTGTCAGTCATTAATTTCCTGTGTCACAAATTTTACTCTAATTTAATGTGCTTAACTGCTGTTTTTGATCTTCATACGTAGTCAATAAGAGATCATGTAGAGTCAGAGATGTTTTATTTTGTAGAGAATTGTTTGCTCTGGCTTACTAGATGAAAGGTGAGCAACTCCCATCGAAAATGTTTTACTTGTATAACAATAGTGTTTGCCTGATTATTAAAAATACAGTTAAAGCATCCCATATTAAAGTGAACATGAATAAAAACAAAAATGTTATGAAACTAAACAAAAATTACATTTTAATAATATAATCTTTTGACATTGTAACTCTATGTGGACTCCTAAGAAACCATGTTATTATGAGAAAATACGCTCAGATACGAATAAGAGTCTACTGACTTTGTTCTCGAATATGATATATCTTACTTGGACTTCAAACGGACTTGAAAAAAATCCTCAAGTCAAAATCAAATACATCAGTTTAATGCTTTAGGTTGGACTTACGCTTGCCCACTTCTGTTCCAAATCTACTGTTCTATTGCCGGCAGAGTTTGAATTTTTATGCAAAATGGAATTTTTAGCCTTAACAATAAAAGAATATTTTCAAAAGTTTTATTATAATAATCGTACACACTTTTCATAAATCGTCTAAATATCTAGTGCTCCTCTACCACTCGCCTTGGATATCATCGAACCGTTAGAAGTTGAGAAAAAATTGAACAAGCCAAAGTACTCTAAATCTTAGTTCAGTAAATTTAGTCTTGCAGTTTACCCCAAATCGATGTTCACATGTTCGAGTCCGTATTCATACAAATTGATTGTATGATTTTCGGTAATCTAAAATTCTAATTATGATAGTGGATTTTTTTTCGCTTTATATTCTGGAAGAATAAAGCTTTAATCAAAAACAGACACAAATAAATGATACGTAAATGAATGAAAGCTTATGTCGTATGTGCATTATTATAAAAATCTCGTCTTCTCTGCCTTCAATACCTTAGAAAAAAATCCAGTCCAAGACGTTTATAACCAGATTGAGTTATTGAATCTTCCATTTTTCCCTTGAAAATCTCTGGCATTACACTGACCATTTGGAAACCCTTTAAAATAAATCTCTCAAAAAACTAAATCAATCAATTTAACTAAAGATGAAATATTTTATACCTGTGATAGTCGCTGATCAACTAACTCATCGAGTATGACTTTTCGTAGACGCCATGTTGTATCTTTCCTATTAAACAACAGTTATTTGTAAAGACAAATCGAGTAGATGTTTTATTACATACAATCCATCTGTTGTAGTATCATTGGGCCCCAGTCTTCTCTTCGGTGATAATGTATAAATTAATGTATACAAATTTTGACTATATTCACGATTTATTTCTTCCATTGATGGAATATAATCACACGTCCCAGGTAAACAGGCTGGCATTGTTAACGATCTCCAATCAATACCTTAAATGAAGCCAAAAAATAAAATTCTGATTTCTAAACCAATTACTGTATTATCTATTGTATTGTGACACTCGTGTCCAACAAAGTGACTAAACTATTCTGCAAGCACAATATGCTCGTTAGAAGACGACGGGTAATAGTAAAACATGAAGACACCCACAGACACCCGCAGACACCCACAGACAGCACACAGACACCCACAGACAGCCACAAACAGCCACAGACAGCTGCACAGACAGCACACATACAACCACAGACAGCCACAGACAGCTACACAGACATCCATGGATGTCTGTGTATGGATGTCTGTGTAGCTGTCTGTGGCTATCTGTGGTTGTATGTGTGCTGTCTGTGTGCTGTCTGTGGGTGTCTGTGGGTGTCTGCGGGTGTCTTCATGTTTTACTATTACCCAGAAGACGACACATCCGATAAGAACAATAAAAAATAAATACTCGTAATCATTGCTGCGCTCCATGGTTCGGCACCAGTTGGTCCCCACAAAATTGTTTCTTGCTGTTTTTGTTGTTCTTCTATTCTTGTTCTTGATGATTTTGTTGCTATTGATCCAGTTAATTTATGTCCTCGTGTTATTTTTGAATCTTTATCTATTGTTAAATCTGTTTTTCTTGTCGGTTGTATTATCTGATCATTTCCATTGTCATTTGAATATGGCGTATTCTCGATCGTTCTCACAGGAGATTGAACAACTCTTCATAGGAAAATAATTTTTTTTTCATTATTATTAAAAGAAAAAGTAGTCGTATCTACCTCCTCGGTCTACTAATATTATTCAGATCACTTCCCATTTTTGAATGTTGATACTTTGGTAATAAATGTTTTATCATTTTGGTTGTGCCCGGAACTACCTGTGAAATGTATGAAGATAAATATAATTTGGTTGATGTTATTCAAAACTTTACTTTATGAGCATGTTCAAACAAATTCACGGGACTCTTTCTTCTTGCATGATCATTTGGCCTTAGATGGTGAAAATGCCAAGGTAATTTATTTGGTCCTTAAATATAAAAAGTAGAATTAATTAATAATTCTGTCAGAATAAACTTATTTATTCTACATACCAATTGGAAACGTATGAGCCCACCGTCTACGCGTGTTTGTCATTGGTATTCTGATATCCGCTGGAGAGAATGGATTGTGTAGTGCTTTCGGACGTAGATGAAGTCTTGCACGATAACCTTCGATAAAGAATGTTTCTGCACTTTGAGCCATTGGTCGTGATATAATCGTTTGTGTATAAGACGAATTATAAATATGACTGATACTGGATGGCTGATGAAACGTTAGGGCTAGATCATCTTTGACACTTCCATCTAGAAGAAAAAAACACATCTTATTAGGGACGGTTATCTGTCAAGTACATATACGTACTTATCATAAATCGAAATTCTCTCTCACTATCATTTCCTATCCATGGATTATGATAGTCATTATGCTGAATCGCTATACCACCGCCAGTTTGATTTTCATCATCTTCACATGGCGCTAGACCTTAAAAATAGAATTTTTAGAGATAGAATTTGTGCATGTGTTACTTAATTAATTATACGTACAGGGTACATAGTCCATAGTGACATGACGTTTTTTTATATCTGTTGTTCTAGAAGAGTCATATTTATCAACATACAGACTTTTAGATGCACTAAAAAAAAGACAAACGAGATCACATATAATTATCTCAGAAAAGAATAGTAGTAGCGTTACCCTCTTGGTTGTGTTCTAAATACTTGATCATCATATTGTTCAACGGATAAACGCGGCACTTTAATAAAACTATCTTCAATTGACGAATTAGAATCATCCGGTTCTAGAAATAATTTAAAATTTGATTAGTTGATTCTATCGTAAGAGATTGAATAATTTTTACTTAGTTGATCATTTTGTATTCGACTAACATCGAACAATATTCGTGGGGTGTAACGTTTAAAACACGATGGAGCAGTTGAACTATGGTAGTAACTAAAATACCATAGAAAAATTCAAGTAAATTGGATAATTAATTTGTTTTTTTACTGTAAATTATTATGCCAAACCTTAAGTTCATCCAGTGTGGGATCTGGTAATCTGCGGCAACATTTAAGCCCTGCTTAAAAAATTTAAATAATGGTACAGCAAATAAGGGCTGTTCACCAAGACAAACTAAATCACTACCGATTCCTAAATTCAAAAAAACGAATTGCCACTAATCTAAAGCCAATAGTTTCCTGATTATTTGAGAAATAAAGAGGGAGAAAAACAAAGCAAGCTTTTCCCATGCAAATACACATTAAATTCAAAAAATCGTATACCATTATCTAATACTCGTTGTTTCGTGGTATTTGCTAATTCTCTATCAACTTCGAACACTCCACCACCAGGTGTAATAACTAAAGACATTTGACCAAGACGATCAAATGAACGATCAATGTAATGTCGTTCGAATACTGTGAAAAAATATCCATATAAAGGGTAAAACTTTAATAAAAGATATTTTTAATTCTTACCACTCGATGATAAATTTAATGTTTCGAGAAAATTGCCTTCAGCGGCACATGAAATTGTTGCTTCTGGTACTTTGTCATTTTTCAAACGTTTTCGATGATAATTCAAAACATAATCTTTATAATCGACAATAACCTGTTTAATTTTAATTAATCTTGGTAACCAATCATCGTAACGTTCATTCTGATAAATAACGCTACAAAGGAAAAGAATAAATTCTCTTATAATTATTCTCAGACTAGTTTTGATTAAAATGATTGTTTATTTTTATTTACTAACCGATAGAAATCTTCGTAGAATCGTCCATGATAATCTTGTGCAATACATGAACGCATTTGTTTGGGAAACGCTTCAATATCTGTAACATTGTAATATACACGAGAAAATAATGTCATTGTAACGTCATGTTGACACGAAAGTTGCTAAATGAAAGACGTTATTGTATAATGCTGAAAAATAATTAGAAATATATATAACATATACCTTCCATCTCGTAAACAAATCAAATAAAAATCCATCAACTGCTTTCTCATAATATGTATCACCGTTTGGATCAAAATCCCACATTTCTTTACTCATTTGCAAAAATAATGTACAACATGCACTCAAAGAACGAAATACAAACTACAAAAAGGAATAAAATAGATATAATCGCTCGTTATTAATTCATAGGTGACAATAACTCACTCTCGTATCTGCTGTGACATAGCCAGATGATACTCTATAGGGTGCATCTTTTACCCAAAGACCGTAAACAGAAGCCCTAAAACATAATTTAAGCGACATATTATTTATTTAAAACTTACATATAACAAACGAACCGCATGCTAAATATTTCGAAAGATTTTTTAACGTAAATACAAGTATTGATCTAAATGTAAAATAATCAGAATAATTAAATGCGGAGAGAAACAGAGACTGCATACTAATTTTCTTGTGAAACGCCACATATCCCCACGGCTAAAGTATTGCTCTCTTAACGTTAATTCAACTAAATAAAGTTCAAAATGCTAAAACAAACAGGTATTTAATTGAATAACTTTCATCAAATAGTCTTTACAACAAAATACGAACCTTTGGATCATGTACTTTGCGTAGATAATAATTGTTTTCAAATGGTTTTATGGAAAATATTTTTACAATATTCGGATCAATCGTAATTTCTATAATATCATTGTAAAATTATTTTTATTTAAACAATATCATTGATGCTATACCTGGCAAACGTGCAGGTGGATCTTTCACTTCTTCTACTTGTAAAACAATTTTCTTAGTACCATCTTCATTTAGGTCAAGCACAAACAAATCACCCTTTACCAAATTTGTTTTTGATACTGTTAGTATTACATCATTTGCTGAACAAAATACAGCAGTAAATAGTTAGAAAATCAAGATAAAAAGTCGTTCCGTATACGTACACCATGAATGTGATGGTCGACTACTGATGTTCACTTTACATGGCAATCTAATTTAAATGATAAAAACTAGTATGAAAAACGTAAAAAAAGTCAAATGGAGTTCTTAATCTCCGTCAGTAGTCAGTATAAGCAAAAATTGAAGCATTTATGAGCACCTACACCGATGACTATGGGACCAATACTATATAATGGCTTAACGGATATACAGAGACAGGCATACACAGATCTGAATGTCGGTTATGCTAGTAACCGATCAAAGCCGATACATTTCGAGTACGAATCTTCCAGAATTTTATATCGGAAAAGTTTTATGAAATAAGAACTACGTCAGTTTCCCGTATAACCGAACTGGTGTATGGCCAAACCAATAGGTGGAGATAACTGAAGACATGCGCATTCAGGAATTATTACGTTTTGTCAAACATGAAAAAACGTTCACATAACATTATAGATTTCCGCTTGAGTCTCACTTGAAAAAAGAATATAGTCTCGTAGAATTCGGTAGAAAGTTTACATAGTAAACCAGTTTATAGATTACCCATATCAATGGGATTTTATGAAACATTGATGAAACGTAAGAACCCAGACAATCTGTATTGAAATGGAATGCTTAGTTCACCTGATGCTTCATCAAATTTATTTTAAAAAGTTTGTTTCTACATGAAATTGAAAATTTGAGTACCATAGCATATTCCTAAACAGGAAAGGCAACACATACTTTATTTCATCGATTACGGGAGGATCTTTTGAAGAGTTATCTGGAACTTCATTTGTATTCACTATTTGTTGTTTTGGAGATGATGTTCCGTGTACACGCACATGCACCATCTTAAATCAGAAATACAAATTGTGAGATAAACGTATGACTTATGCGTTAATGAACAACACTAAATACACCAAGACTTTTCGTAGTAAACACTTATTGTGGCCACCTTTCTTTATTAACTCATCTTGTCATGTGCTTGTGTGTATGTCGCTCTAGAAGCCGATGAGTCAGCACGTTGCATCAGCTAATAAGTGAAAAACACAGCTGACAACTCGTAACGTTTCAAGAGAGTCCAACAACTATTCAATAGGAGACAAAATGAAATGTACGTTTTTTACGAAGTGCGACAACTTTTTTATGTGAATTAAACGTAATGTAAATAAAAACATAAGCCGAAATTGAAAATGTCACAGGAAAAGTTTCGTCCATATATTTTGTCAACACAAAAACTACAGTTCTCAACAACAAAATAGTTTTACAAAAACTATACTGTTCTTCTTGAATGTTTCAACTGTTCAGGAACAGAAATGTGTAGTCATCTGATCGTCCGTTGCCTAAATTTTTTAATATGTCCTATTCTATGAGAAATTTATTCCGATTACTATTATTCTCATCATAAAAAATAAACAGAGAAATACGAGTCTGAGAGATGTACAGACATCGAATGTTGTTAAGACCCATAGCAATTTTGCAAACAATCCATATATTCTGTCATTCTAAGTGGAGTCAACTTCGCTAAAAGTTGAGGTAACTACAGTATAGCAGCGATATATTATAACGGCAGAATCCTATCAAATACAATTGTTCAATAAACTAGCAGTGTTGAATGGAAAAAATTATTTATTGGCTCCTAATAGACATGATTATAAAGTGAGAATATCACTGAATGCGACTGACTGTATAAAAATTCTCCAACAGAAATATAGTAGATCAAATACTAGATGAAAAGCAATAGGTGTTTGTTTTATACCAGCCAGAATTCGTTTTTAACTCAATAGTAGACTTTACTTTTGATAACAGTTAGATTTTTTAAATAGAAATTACGTATGTAATTAGAATTTTTCCGAAAAAAATATAACTCAGCATCCGTGATCAATGAATAGTATTAACGTAATTCATCATCTTCGTCGCAGTAGCAAATTTATGGTTAATGTAGAAAGATTCTTATCTGGACGGCGGAAGAACGACTCTTTAACCCTTTCCAGCCGGTTGTTTTTAAAATACAGCAAAAAGTGTTGCCAAATGGCAACATCAGGCTGGAAAGAATTAAGGAAATTAAGAGAAGCAATGATTGCTCCCCAATAAACCACTATGAAAGCATAAATTACAAGAAAAAATCATATTTCCATTCTCTAAACGTTTCAAAAATCTATCTCGTCTTCCAGTGTGCTTCTGAGACGGGACAATCATCCTCATCTCTTATCAGGAGCACGCTTTTTTACTTGTGATACATTTTACTAGAACGAACATTTCCCTTTTCTTCTCAAGACATCATACTGAATACCCGAACACATATGATTTAGGCAATGTAGTTCAGTGTATATTGTTATTAAGTAACTTATTTATCAAGAATCTGCGTATCTGCGTTATATGTCAGATACTCTGTATATAGTGTATATCAGCAGTATTATTACACTAAGAGTCAGAAGACAAGAAAACGTGACGCAGCTGTTTTATTCGGCACTTTGATTCTATTGGTATAAAATGTCTCCAATTGATATCCTCAAAAAAGTGTCACTACATTGAAAACACGTAGTAATCAGATGGTAACGCATTCTCTTGTAAGATCAATGAATCTGAAATAGAGATAACAATTCTGCATATTACAACATTAATAGTCGTTGTGCTTGAGACTATTTTTAACGTTAAGAATATATACAAACTGTTTGCAAAAACTGATTGACGTTTTGCTTTAGTTCCCGTTTATATAAGTAATAGTATAAGTAATAGCATTATCTCTAACAAGAAATAAAATTTGTTTTTCAAAAATATTGATATCTGTTCAAGATTCAATTTTCCTCAATGGATTGTTCAACAGTTATAAATCGAAGCGTTGTTTGCTGCATTTCGATTTTATCATCCTTGTTGTTAGAATTTGTTCTTACATGTCTTAACGTACTTGCTCTAGTCGTCGTCTGAGATTGTATATTATACAAATAGAACAGACATGTAGCACATAAGAAGAGAAGAAAAAAAAGTAAAGTTTAGTTGACAGAAATGCCATGATGTTGTTTTAACAAATTTTATCTGTACAAATAATAGTAAAATGAGTACCGATGTTAGACGAGCATCTGTTGATAATGATTATGATTATTTATTAAAATTTATCGTCTTGGGTGATCTTAGCGTTGGGAAAACAACATATTTGTATCATTTTGTGCACAATATCTATTCAAATTTTAAATCAACTGTTGGCATTGATTTTTACGAAAAACGCGTAACATTCAATTCAAATGTTAATACTGGTATCGGACATCGCTTGAAATTAGTTTTATGGGACTCAGCAGGACAGGTATATTATCCTATTTATTCTAAAAAAAGTCTCATAGTTTGATTATTATTAGTAGAGGTTAAACACGTATAGAAAATTAAATCTCAAAAATAATTAATAAGTGACTTTGATTCTTTTTTTTGGTTTAGGAACGTTTTAGAAGTTTAACAACATCTTTATTTCGTGACGTAATGGGTTTTATTCTAATGTTTGATGTATCAAATGAATCGACATTTTTATCCGTCCGTAATTGGATTACATTTATTCAAACTCATTGTTATCATTCTGAACCTCAAATCATTTTAATAGGAAATAAAACTGATATGAACGATAGACGATTTGTTGATACGATACGTGCAAAAGAATTGGCCAATGAATTAAATGTTACTTATATTGAAACAAGTTCTATTACCGGTTATAATGTTAAAGAATCGATTCAATTATTAATTGAACAAACAATGGCTCAAATGGAATTAGCCTCTCAAAAATATTATACAACATTGGCACTTGGTATTCGAGATTTACCAATAAAAACAAAAACACTCATGATAAAACTAAGTGAAAATCAAAAGCAATGTGATTGTTAAATATTATTTGCTCTGTTGATCTTTCTTCTATTCTTCTTTTTGGATAATGAATGTAGAAATGTCAACTGAATGTTTTTTTATGTTATTTTATAAAAGAGTTTGAGATTAAGCAAACCTAAGAAACCAGTTTAATCATAAATACTCAGAGAGAAGAGGAGTGTTCGGCTTGTCCAAACGTAACGCTATTACGTTTTTGACACACTTTTTTTCATTTATCTCGGAAAGTTGGAAAGCTAGAGTCTAAATCCGTTGAAACACCATTCGACGCAGCTTATCATTAGAGTCCTGCGGGTTTATGCGGGAGGAGAGACAATTCAAAAAAAAAAAAAAAAGAATGGAAAATATGAAAAACGACAGATCTTTCGCACTAGACGTACAACCGACCAAATTTACTAATGTTAAAATGAAAGAGAGCACTACTTCACTAGAAAGAAATATTTTGAGCGGATTCGGGACGGGTTTTATTTGAAAAAATTGGGATCGGGTTTGAGTTCGAAACGGGTTTCAAATCTCGGGATCGGGTTCGAAAATCTGAAACCCGCAGAACTCTACTCATCATACTCTATTTATGCTAATTTTTGGCTGAAGTCTCGAGCTTCAAGAAAGGTTTTTTCACCGCGTAACGCTGTTACATAGAAAGACCCTAATTCGGAGTGCTCTTGCTAAAGTTCTAATTTCCTGCGAAAGTCGTTCGCTAAATGAAATGCCCTTTGCAGCCACTAAGTCTCAATTGAAAAATAGATCTCAAAACAAAATGATCCATTTTGTAGAGAATTGAATTCTCTGTTCAATGGTATGTTTTTAAAATTTTTTGAACAAAGTGTCTAAGTCAGCAAATTGAAATTAAAATTTTTATATTGAAAATTCAATTTTTCTTCAAATAAAACTCAGATTCGTGACCAGCTTGAAAAGCTACGTGCCCCTATCGATTTTCCGATGAAAAAAATTCAAAAAAACTTGATCAGCGAAGTGTCGCTTTATGTGGACAAGCCGTAGTATTCTTTTTTGAATCAACAGCCTTCCAACACTTGAAAGTTGTCAGATTCCTTTATTATTGAAATCATTTTCTTTTTTTCAGTTAAATGATCTTCACAACATAAAGAATTAAATCTCTAATAAACCGATGTTCTACAAATTGGACAATGATCGCTATCTTCAGCGATGCTGTAATACAGTTTTCATGAAAATAATGCGAAAGACTCGTCACCCTTTCTCCTTCATCTAGTTGTCCATGAAAATAACACAACTATTGTTGCTTTTCGCATCTTGTATGCCCTGTATTGGTAACGGCAAACATATTGTTATTGCAGTTGTGTATAAAGTATATGCATTAGAATTTATTTGATCAGTAATGAGAACAGTACCACGTTTACGTTGTTCGTCTGTTTGCATACGCATTTCTCTAATTCTATTATATTGTTCAGCGCGATGATGAATAAATCTACATTTACAATTATGCCAAGCCATCAAAATGCCTTGTTGTGTTGGTGAACCTTTTCCATAAAAAAATCGCGCTTCGACAAGAAATCTTGTATCTGTTGATATTTTTCTGTCAATTCTTGGATTTCTTACAGAGACACGTAATGTACGATCAAATTCCCATTCGTACATACGAGCATTTGTGCCACTGAAATAATCACCACGATGAATAAATTTAAATAGACCAATTTTTTATAATGGTTAAATAGCTTTACTATGATAATCAGCTATTGATTTACCAGCTCAAAACATGCATAAAAAGAGTTTACTGGTACTGTATCACAAACGGACATACAACATACAGAGGTGTACAATGTTCTAAAATTTTTCTGAGTGAGTCTAAAACCCATACTAAAAAATTTGAAACAATAACGTTTTTCTGTTTATATAGTAGAAGTGCATTTGATTTCGTTTGTAAAAGGCGGAGAAGTGTAGAAGATTCATTTCATGTTGTCCGCAATGTCTTTCTCACTTGATTATTTAATACCTCAGATAGAGTTTTGCTCCTGACTTATCATAAGAATACAGATAAAGTTATTAAAAACTAAATCAAGTTGTTTGGTATTCCTAAATTAAATTAATATGACATGAAAAGAAATAACTAACTGAAAACGAATAAACAAAACCTAAAACACGAGTAAAATATAGTCTGGCGGACACTGGTAAATATTATCGAAGATTAGTGGCTACATATCCTGCTAAATCATATGATGATCTCGTACATTAAATAAAATATAATCCCATCAATAGGAAACAGAAGAACGACTCTTTAATTGTTGAGGCAATTATAAAAAGAATATTGTCGGAATATAATTCCAATGTACAGTTAATACAATAAAAAATGGAGAATAATATTAGATGCGAAAAAACTTCATATGAGGAAACAGCAGTTTATTATTAATAAACCTGGAAAAAAAAGTATATACAAGCTGACTGACCGAAGTCTTTTGTCAGAGAACAATACAACGAAAAATAATAAGTTTAAAAATATAATAAAGTGTGTAGGTTATCCATCATGATATTGTCCTCGTAAATTTCTGTTCGAAGAAGAGCTCTTTCAATGAAGTGTTCACAATATTCTTTTATCCTTGGTAACAGATTGATTCTGAAACTGACCTTTCCTCTGACATGTTTCACATGTTCTTTCCACGAAAGTGTTTTATCGTGAATCACCCCTAAATACCTTGCGTGTCCCAGTGGCGGATCTAGAATTATTTTTTGGTACGTGCGGTATACGATAAAAGTGCCAGCTGCGTGTGGTCGTCATAGAAACAAATTATTCTAAGAGAGATCTGCTGGAAAAAAATAGTTTTTTTGTTTAAAAGGTATGAGCGACTGCTCGTAACGTTCGCGGACTGAATCCGCCACTGGCGTGTACCTGTAGACGAACAATTGCTGCTCTCACAATCACTTGTACTTGATGTTTGTATTGTTCATCAACTAGTAATGTATCCTGATTTAGATCCCTGGTTTCTTCCAATACTATTACATTTTATGTTATGGTTTACCCTAGTTATAATAATGTATGAAAAATCATATACTCAACTTACTTCATGAATCAGTCCGAGTTCAAGTAATTTTTTTCTCGGACCGAGCGGGCCGTTCGAGAAAAGTTTTTAGCTCGGTCGGGTCAGCGTTTTTTTACGGTCCGGCCCAGCCCGAGAAATTTTAAAATTTTTCTCCATATTTTCAGTTAAATTTGGCTATTTCCTAGTAAGAATATGTTATTATTATTTAGTGAATTCTGATGAGAAAAAAAGAGTTTGATCACTGATCAATTCAGGTGATTAATGATAGAAGAAGAAACAAATGCACCATCTAAAGGAATTCTATCACAACAAGCTGAAATATTTTTTATGCGATTGAAATGTGGAGATCCCCAACTAAATGTCAATTTACATTCCAAAAATGTGTTCCATCCTCTCTTTGTGCATGCCGGGAAGGTAATGAAACAGTCAAGTACTATTTATTAGATTGTTCAACTTATGTTTTAGAAAGAACCGATCTACTATCCGATCTGAGCTTTCTGCCTTGTGTGTCGGTGGCTAGTTTATTGGGAGTTCGTGGGAGATGTTTGGGCGAGAGTCAAGTTATTCTGAACGAGATATGCCGATATATACTACGGACAGTGCGATTCTGAGAAGTTTCCGTTTCCTCTCGCTGCAGTAGAAGTGAATATCCTAAAACCCGAATGACCATCTCTTGCGTAAGCTATCTCTTTTCCTTCCTTTCTTCTTTTAAGATCATTATCCGTTCTTTTTTATACATTTTAAGGCGCACATATGGCGAAAGCCGCTTGCGCAATCGTTCTTTTTTCTTTTAATAAAAAGCTTAAATAAAAAAAAAAATTCTATCCTTTATTGAGTTTATTGTACAATAGATTCTCGAATATGTGCTGTACAATATGTATATGCTGCTAAACTAATCTTTAGCAAAGCTTTTACTGCGTTTTTGCCATAACAAAATTGAATTGAGTCTAGAAAGAATTTACAGTAGGGCTCAAGCCGGGCGGTCCAGAAAAGACTACTGGCCGGGCCGGGCCAATCGATTAGCATGATGGGTTTGGCAGGTCTCGACTTTTCTTGACCCGGCTTGGTCCAGGCGGGCCATCAGAAATTCATCCGATTAGGAGCTCTGGTACATACTTGCTGAGTTTCACGACATTCACGGCAGTATTTTGAAATGTGTCCGAAACCTACGCATTTATAGCGCTGAACGGGCTTGGTTACATACTTGACTGGTTCAGCAATTATATTTAAATGTTATAAATATTGTCCAGTACGAACAATTGTATCACGATTCAATGAATCGGCAAATGTAATTTTAACTGTTGTACCTGGACCGTCCTTTTTGAAATTTTGTAAGCGTTCAATTTCTTCATACTTAAATCTTGCTGCTGTTAATGCATTTTCACCCTTTGGTGTTGTTATTTCAGCATCAACCCGTTTCACGAAAGCCTGTTTATCATTGTTCGGGATCTTCTGGATCGAACTTGGAATATACACCTCGACATCATTGGCACTAACAAATTTCTGTTTGGCTAAATCTCGTAGTATTCTGTTGTAACTGTTTACGTCGCTTCTTCGTGTTCAATTTTTCACACAAACTAAAATGTCTTTCGAGCCGTTGAGATATTCTGTCAGAGAAATCTTGGCTCGTCGAAAAGGACCGCGGACAATAAACAGTTTTAAGCTCTTTACTCACTTACTAAAACTCACTTACTGGAACTTTTGTTAATTCAAAATTAGTAAATTTTACCTTTTTGTTCCGACTATCTTTCTTCGGATTGTTCACCTTTCCACTGCATGAATTTTCTCATTCTAACTTAATATTTACTTTTTTTTTGTAAAACTTTAGTTTATATTCTCTAGTTACTTTTTTTCATTTTATTTCTCAATTTTAGACAATAAACTATTGATACTGTATGTTTATCTTCAAGGTAGAGACCTACACAGGTTAAAAGAACGTGAATCGAATCTGATCCGATCCGAGAGTTGCAGGTGTTCATTGTTCTGAAAGTGAATCACCATTAGCTAAAAATTTGAGCAGCACTTAACTTCAAACTAAAGAATAATGGAAAATTGACATTATGATCTATATTTTATGTATGTAATGAATATATGGTCATATGATATATTTTAATTCAATGATTTCTATTTCAACATAGTCGGAAAACTATGTTTTAATTAGCTGTCTTGAAACGACCGAACGGGAAACATGTAGAAATGCTTATTAAACTTGAATTGCGTATGCTCGATAAAAACAATGTTGCTAAAATAATTATTTTTCAAAAAATGATGAAGCAGGGGTAGCAAGAAACGTTGAATTTTAACAAACTGCATTTTACGAAACAAAATGATTAATTCAAGCATCATATTTCTACGAACTATATTAGGAAAGTTGAAACATGGACAGAAGCTAAAACCAAGATCAACATCATCATCCTATAAATGTATGTAATTTGCGTGAATTTCCGTATTTTAGTTATTATATTTGTTTTTTTATCAACATTTTTAACGAAAAATAAGATAAAGAATAGATATCATGTAGAAAAGAAAAGGCATAGATTATTAAGAAAAAAACTACGATAAGGTGAAATATATCGAGATCTGTTTTGTTCTCCATGACACAAAAAGTAAGGAAATAGAAAACAAGGATACTTTAGAAACTACCCATACATCTACATCTGGTGAAAGAAATCACTTTTGTTTCACAATCACTCATTCCATAGTTTTTTTGTCTATCAATAAATTACATAACAATGAATAAATTAACTGGCAAAGAAAAACGAGAAAAATGACGCTTGGCGAGATAACAACAAAACGTTTTTGGACGATCGAATATATATGTACGATTTTTGAAATCATATATACAACAAAAACGAAGCGGCGAAGAAAGGGAGAGCACCATACATTATTTAAATTATAAATACACTGTAATGAGGTCGCAAGAAGATTTCGAAATAAAACACAGTTAAACAAGTAAAACTGTCAAACAAGAAAACTAAAAAATATACATTTAAGGCGGGAGAAAAACGACTGACGGAGAGTTCAAAGAATTTGCGATATCTGTATCCACTGACCCGTTTGCGGATAGTTGTGTGTGTGGTAATGCGTGAGCTACAACAGTGGCACCATCTAGTATTACGCTATTTGACGTAGTATTTGTTTCTCCTGTCATTCCATTACTACGTTGCGTAGTATTTAAACTTTTTACAATCGCTTGTTCCACACGAGAATAATCACTCTGAAAAAGAGAGAACAAAACATTCGTACATCACCAAATAGTAAAAAATTGATGATGTTATTTTTGCTCATATATTCATAAATTGGTAGTAACTTTTAATCAAAAAGTTTACTGAGCAAGTTTAGATGGATTCAGCACAACAACGAGATGTTCCTTATCAACAAACGTCTCAATACGATTTCAGTTACAAGAAGCAAAATTCAAAGGCAATCAGTCTCACTTACGGCCCTAAAATTTTTTTATTCTGGTACAATTAAAATTCTCTTTTGTTAAACAGAATAATAACACATCTTAATCTGTTGATTACGTCGCTACCATCCATTCATGTAATTCTGATTTTTCTTTGTTCTCTCAATAATTTCTTTCTTTGCAATGACGTTAGAGAAAAAATCTCCTTCAAGTGGAAATCGGACTCAGGACACATTAAACCAGTATTCTACTACTGAACTATGAATACGAATTAATATCCCGTTTTATTCAATCGCCCATAGTGCATCAACTAGTAATGTATCCTGATTTAGATCCCTAGTTTCTTCCGATATTATTACACTTTATGTTATGGTTTACCCTAGTTATAATAGTGTATGAAAAATCATATACTCAACTTACTTCATGAATCAGTCCGAGTTCGAGTAATTCTTTGGCAATGATGTCGGATGTTTCATCGTGATCTATTTCAGCTGTCATATCACGTTGTAAACGATCTTGAAATTTAACACTGATAAATAGCTAAACAACAAATGTCAAGTTATTGTTTAGTACACAATAAAATCAACAAAGGCAAACTTACTGAGAGCAATCCAGTATCTTTTGTTTTTAATTTACATTGCACATCAATAATTCGACGATTTTCATTATCAAAATCAATGGGTACCGGTGTTGTCGTTTCTGCTGATGGATTTGACAGCGATGTCAGCGCTGTTATCTGATGATCGCCATTATTCACTGATGATATTGAACGCTCTATAGTATTTCCTCCTCGTGCTTTATTCACCGTTGACGTGTTGGTTGTATCTGAATTATCATTTGTATTCGATGTAGCGTTTGAATTAATTATATTATTATGAGAATTGGTGTTTCCAATTAATGAAGAACGTTGTGCGGGAAATAACAAACTATAGGCTGTCAACGGATATAAACCATTTTGAACATCTTCAAGGAGTTTGTCTAATTCAAATGAGGGACATTCTTTAAAACTAAATAAAAAATAAAGAATAGTGTGTAGAAGTTTATTTCATGAACTAGTTCTATACTCACGTAAAAAGAGTTGGTTTTCCATCTTTATGAAGAATGTCAGCAAATACTTCATCGCCTGATGACTGAATCGTTGGTGCCATTGAACGATCTGGCTTTGTCTCTGAAAATAGGACGAATCCAGTATAAAAATAAGACAATTCAATATGCTCTCCTAACACATACTTAAATCATCGACTAGAGAATGGACAGCTAAAAGTTTAAGTGTAGGCACTTCAAATAATGCTGGATGGAATAATAATTCACGTGCTGTTGGTCGTTTTGATGGATCAGCGTATAAACATTGCAATACTAAATTCTTTAAAAAAGATCCAGTCATCAGATTTATTTTTAAACTGTTTCCATCAGATAACCATTACCTTCTGAATTGGATCTTCCAATGCTTCTAAAGCTTCGTTCACAACTTCCTCGGTAACTGCATGTGTATCACCATTACCACCTAAATCTAAATTGATCATCTACGAATACGAAGAAAATTGTAAAGTACAAAACTCAAATAGTGCGATTCAGCAAACATACCTCAAGTGTGACCATACCCAAAGAATAAATATCTACAGCAGTCGTTATATAGTTTAATTCTAAACAATAGAACAGCAAACGAAGTCATTTTTATTCTTCTACATTTGTTTAAAAACAAGGACAAAGACGGATAAATTAATTGTGAGACAAGAAATGACGCTTACCCCCAGCCATTTCTGGTGCTTGAAAATGTAAGTTTTTTGCGGTCGAATCTGGTATGCTTTTAACATGATGATGTAGAACATCTGGTGCGACTGAAATTACATGAAAATTGCAAATATCAGACTATATACCGAAAAAAAGCAGAACTATTCACAACTACTCAAGAGGTGAAGCTGGTTTTTGATCTAATGGGTGAAGAATTTATTCTTATAATAGGTACGTAGCAGATTGCTACTTTTATTTTGATTAAGCGTAATACTACATGCAAAAAGGAGAAAATAACAAAGCATAATCAAAGAAGAGATGCAAAAGAGAGAGAGAAACAAACAACAAATTCCAGAGAACAATCATTCAGAAGAAGATTCTATTATTGCTTAGTAATAAAATTCAAGTATGAAAAGGATTCAGGCACCAACATCACATCACACCTACCAAGACCAAGTGTTTCAAATGCTTTCATTTGAAGATAATGAACTATAATGAAATAAGGACTCATTGTTGAAAATTTAGTATTACTGCTCCGTTTTCAAATGGCTTTCTTTTTATAAAAAATGCTTATTACTCAAAACATAACAACTAAAACTATTTTCTCACTTGAACCGATTTTAAGTAAGCCTGTATTTTGGATGAATATTGTATCACAAGTTAAATTTCCATGAATAATCGGTTCTTCACACGAATGTAAATAACTAGAATGAACAAAGAAAACAAATTACGCTTAAACTTCATTTGTACACATCCTCTTTCTTCTCATTATTCAATTAAATGAATGTATAAGAAAAATTCTACAAAAAGTCGGTTATTTATTGTTTATCTCACTTTCTTCTCAGTAAAAAGCAGCTATTAGGCGGAACTTTACAAAAAATCATATCTTACTTCAACGCTGATAATAACTGTATACACCATCTTCGCCAAGAATTTCTACTTAATCCTTGTTTTGTACGTTTTGTTTTTCTTAAAAAATGTTTTAATGAACCACTTGACATATATTCAGTAATGAAAACAACCTATCGTTATACAGAAATTTATTGTAAAATCAATTCAAATGAACGTATCTTTTTTTTATTTATTTACATACTCGTGGCCTGTCATCTATTTTGGTACGATCTTGCCAATAGCCATGAAATTTCACAATATTTTGATGATTTAACTCGATCAATTTACTGAACACTTGATTTACTTTATACTAGAAATATGAAAAAAAAGGATATATGCACTATTCATTCACTATACGAAAAATATTTTAAACCTGTTGTACTGAACTAATTTTTTTTTCAGAAAATAATACTTCATTCCATACTACTTCAACACCTTCTTCTGTATCCATTGCCAAATAAGATACATCTATACCGGGAATATCTCGCTGTGCTACCTAATTAACGAACATAGCAAAAACGAAATAGCTCAATAATAACATTGAATTAATCTCACTGTTTCACGTCGTTTTTGCCATCGTGAACCTGGACTTTCTTCGACGAATGGAGCATCCTCTTCTTCTTCCTCATCTTCAGTTGTATTACTTGGACTTGTTGGAAGATTTGTGCTATGTTTATTACTTTCACTATTTGTTGCTTCACTACCATCTTTAACCTAGAATAAAAATTAGCAAAAAAAGTCAGACTATGCGTGTAAAAAAAAATAAAATTCAATACAGTCTGATAATAAATGTCTCATACCATACCTCGTCCACTAGATGATTTTTGTTTCCGTCGTGCAACAAACTATTTGTTATTGTTGATACTTTTTCATTATTATCTGGATTCAGAATAGTAGATTCAATAGTTTCGTTAATCATTATAGAGTGTTTTTAGTTAGAAATCAACAGCATCAACGTCGGTTTTTTAATCATTCTTGTTTAATACAAAGGTCGTGGTAAAAACTAGAGTTAAAAATTTTGTTTTTTTAAAATAAACGGCAATAAATCAACCTTAGTGGTAGTTTTTTGGCATTAGAAAGAAAACCATTTGAATAAATAAATTACTGGAAAATGTAGCAGAAAAAAAAGCCGTTAACAAGTCGCTGCATGGAATATATTTTTTAGTATACGAACTAAATAACAGCTGTTCAGAAAGAAAAAGAAAAAGAAGAACAGACGCCATATAATAACAATGTGAATTGAGTTTTTTTTCTTTCATTCCGTATACACATATTGAGTCTCGACACTTCTTTTCATTCAGTACAGTTTCACTAATCGTATTCCATTCACACATCCTCTATTTGTGACGGTACGTGTCTATGCCTTAACGACAAATTTTTAATATCAATTCTAGAACT